CACATTGTTTTTGTGAAGTTACATTCTTGTTTCTTGTTTATGCAGAATACCATTCTGTATGTTCCATTGTAACACCAATTGAGGCTTGCGTTCCGGTTGGGTGTTGTACCACAAGCACATTGATTTGTAATTTCTTTTTGGGGTATTCTCGGTCGTGACTCTCGGCGTTTCTGTGTACATGCACTTTCGGCGCCCTGCTGTCATAAGGAAACTGCCCACTACGAAGCTGAAAGCCAGGGCTAGGGCTCCGACGTGCCGGTAATGACTTGTAGTTTGGAGATCTGGTTTGCTGTATGCCACTTTGACTGTACGCCCGCGCTAAAGCTCGGTATCAATATGGACACCCGGGGGGAGCCCGGGGGGCTCAGGTTGGTTAACTAGGGCTGGACCGGGCCAGAGAGGAAACTCAACAGCCAGAAAAGTCCCGTGGAGTTGTGATGGGATCGCGCATAAAGAATGGGAGCTGCTTTGGGGCAGACCTGAAGTCACCGGCGATCCAAGCTACCGGCACGTTTACTACGACAACCCCGGCCCAGGGAGCAGTTTTAGGGGGGGAGGAAGAGCCATGCCTCATGGCTCGAAGTGGCTTATCTCCCCTCTCCAAGGTCTTTGGAGTCGGCGGCATCGAGACCCTGATGAGACAGCAGGGCAGAAGGGCAGTCTGTGTGTGTCCGCCGGAGAGAACGACTCGAGGAGAAAGTCTGAAGGCAAGTCAGGGTTTGTGGGAGGTTGAGGCATCTGGAGTCGGATACCCAGCCGGAGTTTGAGCCTTGAAAGTTGTCTTGATTCTGTTTATTTTATATTTTTCATAAAATAATACACTTCGATTATTCGAAGCAGTTTCATTTGGTTTTCTTTTAACTTTCACCGTTTTACCCTCCCCAAGCCGTACCACCTCCCGGCCTGGGACGATCGTGGCCTCAGTAACGAAATATGGCAATTTCCCTCCTCGGGGGGGCTCAGTAGATATGCTCATTTTTTTATCTAGATTTTTGTTGTTTATCTTCATCTTTGGGACATTATGCTTATTTATAGGAGTCCAAATGAATTTACTTTTTTCTTATGTTCTTCTCACTTTATAATCCTTCTAAGGGACCTTCTACATATCTCCATTGCTTGGACTCATGTTTGCAATTGCTCTAATTAATTACAACATTTTGACAGTCGCTTTTCCTTTCTGCTTCTCTCATCCTAACTTCATAAAAGTTTTTCACCATTTGAAATTAGAAATTTCTTCAAAACTGTACACATAATGGTAAGAAGGATGTTTTTCACAGGTTTTTAGAACTGTCACCATACCCAACAAAAATAATTTGCTGCACTTTTATGACCAAATGCCACCTGTATGTGCTGCACAACTAACATCAAATGGCTGTAATCTGTTCCAGATTTCAGAGATGCAGCACTCAGCAGTGGTATGTCAAATCACATCTTTGTATAGGATGACAAACATGGAATGTTAATGATACTCATTTCAAAGCTTATTACCTCACTATGATTTGGGTCCAGAACAATATAAACATTTTCTAGGCTAATTAATGTCACGAAAAATTCTTCCATCCCCTAATATTTTAATATGATTGGTTGCTTGCCTGAGTGCTTTAAAGTTGGTTCAACTACAGCTATTGTATGGAACTATCAAATTATATTAACTACCTAAATAACTAGATGGCTTACCGAACCCAAAGGTTCATCACCGAATTAACCAAAGCCTTCCACCGGACCCTGTCCTGGGCCAACAAAATCCAGTCTCCTTCGACTCCTATCTCCCATAGATCCCGCCTGAGATTATCCTCCCATCTCCGTCTAGGTCTCCCCAGCGGTCTCTTCCCCACAGGTTTCCACACCAGTACCTGGTGCACATCTCTTGTCCCATCCATGCACATTACATGCCCCACCCATCTCATTCTTCTCGACCTAATCACCCTGACAATACTGGGGGAGGAGTACAGATTTTTAAGCTCATCATTATGCAGTTTTCTCCACACCCCATCGTCTTCTCTCTTAGGCCCAAATATCCTCCTCAACACCCTATTCTCAAACACCTGCAATCTGTGTTCCTCCCTCAGAGTGAGTTTTGCACCCATACAAAACATCAAATTATATTAAAAAACAAAACTAAAAAGTTTCAACCTAAAACTAACCTAACCTAAATTTTGTACCATAATAGCATGTTTATTGTTACACAGCAATAATTATGTCACTATAAATTATTCACTAGAGCATTGCAGTGGACCATGTAAAGATGTGTCCTTCCCTTTACAACCCATTAGTACGGCTAAAAGTATAACAGCCTTGACACAAGTATAATACCGGGTCTACAATTTATGCTGTAACGGCCTTGCTTGCATTGCGTGCTCGGCCGAGTGCACTGTTGGTGTGGGATAGAGATAGCGTGTTATTCCCGTGAGTCACAGGCGAATCAGTTTCAGTGCCGCTAGTAACAGCGAACTACGAATATTTCTCGATACTAATACATGTTATTACATTAATTGTTCTTACCTTAAATCACAAAAGATGTTCAAAGTGACTTCCTTGTGCTTGCAGGCAAGCACCAGTGTCAGGATTTGTGAGTCTCTGAACAACAGTGGTCTTACATGATCGCAATTTCAGAAGTCTCGTTGCTGTGTGAGCAGATCCCAATGACACGCCAGATTGTGCAGCTAAACGTGCCAAAGATTTCCTTGGACTTTTTTCTAAGAAAGCCCCAATTTCATCCAATTTCTCTTCCGTCAATACACTCCGTTTCCTGTTCTTCTTTTTATCCAAAACTGATCCCGTACTACGAATTTTTTTTATTAATCTCTCTATCGTGGGCCTGCTAGTACATTTTCGCTTATGTTTGTGTTTCACTAGTAACTATTAAGACAAATGACCAATTATCATTAAAATCATTCTACATGTACTTCTGAACTTCTGAAGTTGGATTAGTACCAACATCTTTGAATGTACTCTCCTGAAATTTTACATGATAATATGTTTTATACAAAATATAAAACCTATGAAGCTTGTTTTTGTACAAAATATAAAACAAACAAAAACGGCCACTGTGCAAAATCAGTATTTACTATTTTGTTCAGCGCCAGTAACTAATTAATTATTGTAGCCAACAATGTGCAAGTTGGGATGGAGTCATAAATGCAACAAGGTTTGTATAAAATTTGTACTGCAATGTTAAAATAATAATAAAATTATTCAAATATCAGTCTATAAATTCAGCTGGCTTCTTTAGACAAACATAAGGAACATATATAAGTATTACAAGTTTAAATCATAGCTCCATCATTATTATTGGCAGCAGTCATGTTTCAGTCATTTTTCGTCATTTCTGACTGTTATTTATTTAAGAGACTGTACAATAACTGTGTCTTTCCAGCTTTCCCCATATAACTATTCTAACCAATGATTAACAAGGAAACAAAACTTACATTTAGAAGAGCATTGTCCAAGAAATGGAAGTGTGTGATAAAGCCTTCTTTGGACTCAGAAATTAATTGGTAGAGAAAAGATATGTACCAAATTATAAGATGTAGAATACATTCTGCTACCACATTAAAAATGTCAGTATTCTGGGGATGTACACAGTGCAAAACAGGAGAATACTCACCACATTACCAAATTTTGTGCCCCTATATGTAACACATTCAAAACCTGTATAAATGGTAATGTTAAATGATGCCATAGTGAGAAAGGTTTAATTTAACAGAGTAAATGTCCAAAAGTAGGCCTGTATTTCTTCAATCACTCCTAAGTAAACTAAATATTACTTTTTTAATATAAACAGTTGATAATTAATTATAGGGTTTCCACAAAACACGATCCACTTAATATTGGTATCTGAGTAACTCTGAAGTATGTATACTAAATTTTCCCTAGTTTAAAAACTTACCAAATGGTTGAAAAACCTTGTAGTTTTCTAGGAGATTGTAATTACGTTTTTTATCATATTCTGACATGTCATTCCACTCATTTAATGAGAAAAGGCTTGACAGTTCACTATAGTTATTCTCATCCATTATGAACTAAATTCTTATTCCACTTAATATAAGAAATACATCACCACCATTTTCTTAATTAAATAAAATAATTCCGTTTATTCAAACATGGGTGTATGCCAACACTTCACACGTGTCATAAATTATATTAACATTTAAATTAAACCTGTTCACACATTTATTAGCAAATGGAAAAGTTGTAACACAATTACAATTAAACTGAAACTATTATTTTCTAACACTCTAAAATTGGTTCCAAATTCTATTTAAAAAAGTAAATTTTCATTTTGCACCAATAAACAGAACTTATATTACGTAAACGAAGAATTAAACTAAATAAATAAATTGGAGGGAAAAAATTGACACTCAAATGACACAGTAACCAGAACTTATGTAACAGTTAATCAAACAAATTAAAATTAATTCGCAGATATCCTTCACTGAACACTATACAATAATAAATTCTAATTCCATAGTTACATTAAAGAACTGTGCACTGTGGTAAAGATGCTAACGCACAAAATCTTGAACGAAACCACTACTGTTTTCTGCCGAAATGGCGGCTGGAGCTTGGTAGGAAGTAACGGAATATGTGGCTGGGGCGAGAAGATGAGGAAACATACAGTGGTGCAAGATGTAGCATTGGTTTCCTCTTAATGGTTATAACACTACTCAAAGTACACGTAAGAACTGGCAACGTACTAAATGTATGTACCAATGTCGAAAATTAATTCAAACGTATACGCACATATCAAACCCTCAAAATTGGGAACAATGTAGCGAAAACTATAAACGATTTAGTGGAAGTGGGGGGGAATCGCACCACCTATAGTAATGCCACCACCCAAATTATCTTTCAAATAATTTGAATTAAACGTGATCTGTTCACACTAATATCTCTGGTGACGGCATGTAAACAGTCTCCAGCTGTTATGGCGTTGTACGATGCCGGTCTTCCTTTGTGATGAAGAAAAATCACATTGTAGGCACGTCTCTTCAAAGTTTTGAAGTTAACATATTGCACAGAAAGTGTAACTCGTGTTTTTATAACTGAAAATAAATGAAAACATTTGAAAGTATAAATATGTGTCTACTGAATCGGCAGCCTTCACATTCTGGTTTCAGGCGGGAGTAAATATGTTAGGTTAATTACGTCTGGGGTAATAGCAGTTTATGGTGCGGCATTGCCCCAGTACCAGGTAGTGTATCAGCATAAAGTCTTTCAGCCCTGGCTTACGATGTATTAGCTCAACATATGATGTCACTTATTTCTTGTAAGAAAGTCAGTCACAAGACACAGCTGTTTTGCTTTTATCTTGGACTTGGCCCATCCTCTTTCTAATTTTCGCAGCAATCTCAATAAAGTTTCAACCATTCCTGGTTGATTATGAACGAAAGCACACCGTTCCAATTTCTGTTAACACTGTTAAACTCAGTTTCAAGCACAATACTGACAAAGTTAAAACTGTACCAGCAATATGTACTGTAGTCGAGTGAAAGGTTCAACAAAAGAATAACTATACACTTTCACAGCATTCCAAGTACAAAGAAAACAGCAAACTACTTAAACAAGAGAGAAATAGAACCTATCACCCTAAAATCCATCATGCAACTGATAATAATGACTAAAGAAGAAATTCAAGAGGTGACATGTTTGTTGGGTCACATTGTTGACTTCACTATGCACACATCAACCACTTGTATACAATACCAAGTACTATTGGCAGCACAGTACAAAGCTGTTAATGCAAGCACACATCTAATCTTTCCTGTTTCATCTCTCTACTTTTAGATGCTTATTAACATACTATTTTATGATATGTCCCTTCTTATTTATTTATTCGGCCCCCCCCCCTCAAAATTTTGCCACACTAGGTGACCGCCTAGTTTGCCCAGTGGTTAAATCAGCTGTGTTTACTACAATACATCCAAACTGTAACTGCACAGCATGATATATGCTATTTTACCCAAAAGGAACAGAGTTCAAAACCCTACTGTCAGGGTGCATGTGAGCATCAATTACAGGCATGAAGTGCAATTTCTGGTTGGGTAATTTTATAGTAAAATCCCTGTTATACCTCAAATAACAATGCCAAGTTGAAAAGAAAGTCAGTTACCATACAAGTTATAAAAATTTACAGTCATTTTTCTCAAAATGTATGAATGGTCAGTTAGTACAATGTCATTCCAAGCCCACAATGTGTTCAGTACTTCCAGCCACATGCCTTCCTGCAGACACTGAGCTCTTGTAGCAAACACTAAAACAGATGGCAGTCTTCTGGGTTGTTGCACCACGTAGTCTGGTGGAAGATTACCAATGTTTTATAGGTACTTGCTGCCTCTCATCACCCTGATGATGGAGGCAGCAAGGGCCTATGAAACATTGGTAAACTTCTACCAGACTGCATGGCACAACCCAGAAGACTGCCATCTTCAGACTCACTCCTGTCAAAACATCAGATCCTTCTAAGCACTAAAATCTTCTTATAGACAACATTAAAACTTGCAATAAGAATGTAAAGAAAGCAAGTACTACATTACATAGGTTACAGAACAACTCTATGAAAAATTTACATTTGTTATTCCAACTAACGGTACCAATATATTATAAGAATATTATGTGGAACATTGTCTGCTGTCTGAGGTATATTTGACATACATTACGTTTCAGAAGTTGGCTCTACTCCTGTCTTCAGGTAATTCATTGTCATGATCCAACATAATATTCATGTTGTGAATAAACTATTGTCACAAACACTTAGAGAATTACTAATATATTGTCATTAATTTGTGTAGAATACACATTACATATCCTGTTCACAGTGATCAAGTTAATTATTTCACAGCAGTCAGAGAGCACACACAGTAATGTTCAAGTACAGTGACAATATTGCCCCTACTTGTACTACAGCTCATATGGCGTGCCCACAAAACTATTTCCAACTCTGCTCTCTTGTCCCGCTAGGGGGCATATTCTGTCACATCTTTCAACTGAAAGATCATATTGCCATCTATCAGTAACCATATTAACTGTGTTTTGCCATTATTAGTGGCCAGATAAACTGTATGCCCATCACATAAATTGAGCCAATCATGCTGCCATCTGTCAGTGGCCATATAAGCTATTTGAAATCAGACCCACTGGAAAAACACCTTTGAAACTTTCCTGCTTGATGCAGAGTTTGACTTTTCTAATCTGTTCCTGTTTTACCACAGCATAATGCATATGTTGCTACTAGTAGTTAAAGCTGGCTTTCTATAGCATACAAATGGACAAATATTAAAAGCAGAGAACAATATTTTTAAATGTGTTAATTATATTAAAAGCTTTGAGAAACATAAACATTGTATTGCAAGAGAAAATGCTATCTACAGGCATTTTGAGGGTTTCAGATCAATCAAATGTGCAGGTGAGTTATGCATTTTTTTATGTAAAACTTCAGCTGACAAGATGACAGACATCGCTTCTGAATGGTGATTGTGTATTGGCTGTGTACTTAACCTGTGGTCTATATGTACCTAGGCTGTATGCATTACCATGCCATGCACCGCAGTGCTACTGACATGATCACACATCTTTGACATGTCATTTTCCTCCTCCACTGATAGATTTATTACTTTACAAATTAGTCATACGTGTCTCTCATAACAGCCTTAAATAAACTCTATTTTTGTTAGGTAACATCACTTAAAAATACATTCATATTACATCAATTACAAATGTTTGATCCTAGCACCAAATTCAAAGAACATTTTTTTGAAAAGGTATCAAACATCTTACTGCCAAAGAAAATGACAGTGGCACAAATAATCAATAACAATGAATTTAACAAAAATAAATAAGCTATTTCAATTTACATGAAAAGATGGTAGTCTTCACAGTTTCTGCACCGTGTAGTCTTCTGAACAATGGTATACATCCAAAAGATGACACAGTGAAGCAACCCAGACCACCATCGATGAGCACACTGCCACAAAAACCTCAATTCCTACAAAAAAAGTACTGAGTATAAAGATATGGATAGGAATTACGAAAGAAAATTTAGAGAAATTAAGCAAAGAAAATAGAACATACTTTCATGAAGTACTCTTAAATAATGTCTTATTGCTAATTACATCACACACACAAACAAACAAACATCTTCAGACTTTAACGTCACACTTTAGTGTCGTGAGTCGCACTAGCATGCTGCTGAATTGTTAAACCCTGGAGTCTAGCCGACAGCTCCATAGTATGGTAATTTACATCCCCTTTTCCTGCATGATAAAAGTTAAATAATAATGACATCAAAGATAGCTAACTATCTTCTGGGTTGTAATACCATGCAGTCTGGTAGATATTTACCAATGTTACAGAGATCCTTGCTGCCTCCATTATCAGGGCAACAATGATGGAAGGAGCATGGACCTCTGAAACATTGGTGAACTTATACCACACTACACAGTCCTAGAAGTCAGATGACAGCCATCTCTGTACTTGCCACTGTAAGAACCTGAAATCCTACTTAATAAAACTTCGTTCATTGCAGGGGTAAATTTAGGAGGAAATATTAAGCAGAAGATATGCATTAATGACAACTTTCATTCAACTATGTTATTTTAATTGCATGTAAGTGTCAATAATTTTACTAACTATTGCTGTATGAAATCATATATACAAACAAAACGGTTTACACATTAATGATTTCATATATCAAAACACTGCATGGTATGCAAGGTTTTAAGATAACTATTGCTGGTTCATATTTTATCTTCAAGAAGAACTCTGATCTGGGACAGGAAGTAAATAAAAGCATTGCTCATTTTGGTTTGGTCAGATATTATAAGTGAAGTCAGTGATGTTGAAAATCCTCTATAACCTGGATAAGCATCTTAAACTGTGATGCAAATGATTATCACAGCAATGGAAGACTTTTATATCGATGGTGAAGTAGTAACACTACCAATGAAGAGGTGGAGAAACAATAAAATTCAGCATGAGTTTAGCTTCACAAGCTCTGTTATTCTTGAATACATCTTTATGAATCATGAGTACATCATCATACCAGGAAACAAGAACAGAATTAGAAGTGCCATACCAATTCACCTTGACTGATGAAATTCCACTCTAAAGAAACTGCTGGTAAAATACTGTTTGCTGTATTCTAGCACCAGAAGGGAGTGATTTTTGAAGATGAGAAATTAAGCCAGGGACATGCTTGCAGCATGAAAATGCATGCCATGATGTCACACCCTTTCCACCAATTACATTTAGTTCTGATAAGCGACATCAGAAAACCAGAGAGAGACCAAAGACAATTTGTATGTTGAGGTACATACTTATTCAATGAAGTGTGCAGAACATGATGTGAACTATAATACAGTATATTAAGTGCACTTAAAACAGTTTTTTCCAACATTTACAGTTTTCATATGAATCATACTTAACTGTTATCATTTTAATAGTATGATTCATTGTTCTGTCTATTCACTAACAAAGGAAGGCTTAACAATGTCTGGAAGCAGTGAAAATGTGCATGTCCCTAGAATTCTTACTCCATGCCTTTTTCTTCTTCAAAATGCTGGTAGCCACTTATATGAAGTGGTGTTACAACTAAAGGTCAAAATAAAATAAAAAATTACTTTTACTTATGAAATGAATTTGTATTATTGTGTCACTTATTATAAAAGATGTCAAAAATAAATTATCTTGTGCATGTAAGTGGAATAAAATTGTAATTACCACAAAGATTTCATAAAACCTTTCTTCAGACTGATGGATGCAATAACTATATATGGCTTTGATTCTAATTTCTGAATCTTCCCAGTAAAATTACCATAGGATTTCTTTTCCATACCGCAGTTTTCCCAGAAACACGGATAGCAATGTTCCTTTCTTAACTTTGCTAATGCAATCTGCTGTATCATGCAAGAAACACAACTAAATAATTACAATAAATATACAACAATGAATGAAAAAGATTCAACGAACCCAACTGCATTTGACCATGTGTTTGTTCCTCTTCTTCCTCCTCCTAAGACATTTACACTTTAAGTGGGTCAACTGATCAGGTCCTATTCCCTACAATGCATCAATACATTTATTTAGAAATTTATGTGTGTGTGTATTCAATCTTTTCTTACATTCTAATATAATTTTTGATTATAAAACTAACACACAATGTTACAAAATTATAATCTGTGACCACGACAGAATTCTTCTTGTTCCTCTGACAGCCACACATATTGTAACCTTACTGAAATGGAGCATACAGTTAATATTCACTTATATAACAATAACATTTAATCTCATAGTAATCCCCCAAAATTATGCTTTCAAGAGCATAATTATGGTAGCAGTGGTAAAAATGTGAGCCATTCTTGTTCTCACAACAATGTATCCTGTGACCTACTTATTCTTTCCTTTAATGTGATATTAAATTATATACATTTTACCCTGCGACTCGCAAAACAGTAAAACAAATCTCTAGAATGCAGCGCAACTTGCCTACTTCGCAATATATCATTGTTGCATTATTACCATCTACCTTGCAAAACACATTCCAGTGGAAATTGGCACAAGTTTAACATGCTGACATGGGAGTAGAAAAATTGAAGTCCCTGACATTTCTGTCCAAATTTAAACTTAGTGTCATTTACTTAACATGGAATCTTGAAACAGGAAATATACAAACTCTATCAACAGTGTGTTCCAACAGTTCAGGCATTCATATTGAGAAAACACCAAATAATCTGAAGTCGTAGATGGAGGAGATACATCAGTGCAATATTTTGACATTTTTGTACAGCTCATATTCATGCCTTATAATTATTCTCTTATTATTGACTAATATCCATGTTTAATATATAAAATTCGGTGGCAAATGATACTTTTTAAAGCTAAGAAATACACAATTTACACTTGGGTCCTTGTATATTACACGTATGTTCAAAGAAGATCCAAATAATGACAAATGTGACAGGAATCACACACTGAGAGAAAAGATTGAGCAACTCTGGTTTTCTTGGTCCCTTTGCTCAGTAATTCCTAGAAGTTTTCTGTCATGCCAGTGAAGCATCAGTAGCTGAAGAGGCTGTTGCAGATGGTAGAACATGTACTTGCTGGGCCTTGCTGCTGTTGTAAACCTGACCAGGGCTGAACGGTTCTAAACGTGGGTGCGATGTAGTGTGGGAACTCAATTCAGGTTTGCGATTTGGATCTGCAACAAATGGGCCATATAATATACTCTTTCTTGGATTATGTAATGACACTGTATCAGTCAGTTAATTAGCAACTTATTAACTGCAGGAATTAGGCTGAATAAGATGTCAGGTTGATTATGATTAGGGAGCATAATTTTAGGTGTTAAAAATATGGAAAACATTTATTTTTATGTGCTTTAAATGGTCTAAAAACCAGAAAATATTTCTTTAAAAATAGTACCCATGATTGCCCCGGCTCACAGAGCCATTGCTGCTCACCAGTGTTTGGCATCCACAGGTGTCGTGGTTCTTAATCACCCCCCTTACTTGCATGATTTGTCACTAAAATTGAAAAAGAAACGGACATGTTTTGATGACACTGAAGACATTAAAAAATCTGCGACCGACTTCCTGGAGGCTATCCCTATGGACTCTCAGCAATGCTTTGAAAAGTTCTATGATCGTTGTAATAAATGAATTGCTGTAGATGGAATGTGTTTCGAATAATATGCAATAAAAAATTTACTTACTTGAAGATAAGTATTTTTTAAACCAATCTGTAAAAATTTGGGAAACAATGTGTATTCTCCACATCTCATGATATGAGTCTTGGTATGGTATTTAAATTTCCTTTTCCTATAAAATAGATGTTAATAGCTAGAACTGGACAAAGGAAGCTGATAACATTTTGTAAGATTTTACAAATTTAAAAAAAATCTATTAGATAAATTAGAAAAAAATTCACTGGTACAGAAGGAATTGGATCTAACATGTATGAAGAATGGACAAGGACAGATTACCACATCTAATTTTGAAACAGAAACCAATAAGAAGAAGAAACAAAGGGCGCCCTTTAAAATGATTCCTAGATGATTGAGGCCAGAATGGGTCACAAGGCCCAAAATCCGTGATACTTAAATGATGATGATTAGACAAATTATGCAGTTTCAAGCTATATGTGAAATACAATAACAGCAATGTGTCAACAAAACACATACTAGTGGCTGAAATGTATAAACACCTAGAAAAGTAAGACAGTTATGTTGGCAATAACTGTTCTTATTTTCTGCCACTGTAATCATGCTCTGCACCCATTTGACTCAACTATGAGATCTTAAAATTCTTGTTCAAACTTCACCCATTAAACTTTTACCAGGTATGAATGTGGCTATCAAGGAAGCACTTGACCAAATATCATGGGTGAGTGATCAACACTCCTGCTTTGTATACAGAAGGTTCTAAGTGTGGTCCACAGACTTGTTATTCTAATCAAGGCAAATTTTGGAATAGCACATTAAATAAGGCCATGACCATTTCCTTTCACACCCCTTCCAATTTATTATTAATCAACCTGTTATTAAATACTATATAATCTGAGTTAATGACAGCATCATCCAGTAAATGATAAATAAATAGGACAGAAACTGTTCACCAAATATGATTTTACAGCAGTAAAACAGTGAGAACTTCATTACGTTAAGACAGAATTGCCATGAAGTTCTGTACATGCTCTTTTTCTGCAGAATACTTTCCCATTAAATCCACCACATGACTGAGAACATAAAAGACACATTTGAATACACAAAATTCAAAAAGCAGCAAAACGGATCTTAATTTTCTGACGAACACAAATACAGTGGAACCTCGATATAACACAGGCTACGGGAGACAGCTTCAGCACCCACGTTATATGTAATCATTTCGGGGGACATGATCACAGCCGCGGTATATTGAGGTTCCACTGTACTACATCTTTATGTCCATCAGAACAAAATTTGTCTATTTTTCCTCACCTATCTGTATAATTTATTTAAATGTTCAACAAACAATACAATGAAAATTATGTTTCCATCTTTGTGAATTAATAATAAAGATATCTGTAGACTGACTGCCTTTCTGGACTCCATGTTCACTGACTCTGTTTAATACTCAAAAGATTCTGAAGAAGATCCAACCTGTGTTACTCTGAAGCTACTGGAAAGAACAACAGACTGTTTGATTAATGTTAATTATGACTTGACACTTTTAGAAACTCCAGAACAGAACACGTATATCATATGGAAATCTTACAAAATGAAAACACTACTGGTGAAGACAGTGCAAAGCGTACAGGATATCATCATCTTTACAAACTAAAAAAGAATATGAAGAGAAAGAAAATATGCAAATAGAACAAATACAAAGTAGGATTTGAGGTTTTCACAGTAACAAGTATGAAAATGGCTGAGTCATTTCCCTGATGATGGAGGCAGGAAGTACCTCTGAAACAACAGTAACCATCTACCAGACTACATGGTGCTAAACCAGGAAGACAGCCATCTCCAAAACAAATAATGAAAAGGGATGAACATGAAACATGGAATCCAGTTCTTGAGAATAAAGGAGCACATATAAAACATACTGTGGTTGTCTCTCCATAACCGTGCAACTGTATAATATAAGGCAGCATTGACCCTTTCACGTGAGTACAAATATTTAGTTAGCATGGTTATAAACTGCCTTAAACATACTGTGTGTTCAAAAGTTCATACTGAGTGCCAAATAATGGGATTTTAGATCATTTATACCAGTTTATGTTTCCCACAAACTATGATTTTTAATGATATATGATATCACTGCATTGAAGATGTCAATGGTGGTATTCTGGACTGTGACATCATGTGGACTTGTAGGTGGTTACCTAAATTTCTGAGGAACATAATGCCTCAGTTTTCAGGATTTGTTGCTTCAAAACAAGGTAACCACCTATAAGAGTACATAGCATCAAAATACAGAAGACATTTTTACTCCCATAAAAATTTGAAAGTTTCATATTCATACTTACAGATGGCGAACAGTTACTTGCGAGCTGAAACAGTGTTATGATAAATAATTTTATAGCTTACAGATTTGGAACCCTAATGAAATGCAGAACCACTAGAAATACATCATAGAAACCCAAGTTTCCACAGACCACATTTGAAAATCACCATTCTATTCAAATATAAATTAAATATTAATTGTTTCTATGCATACATAGAATAAAAATATAGAAATAAATTGCACGCACCTCTTGAGGAAGTTTTCTGATCTGCAGGTATATATTTAGAAAGCCGTACTAAGGGTAATGGAAGAAAACCACCAATCAGAGGCATTACATCCAATGTAACATTCTGTTTGTCCACACTGTCCAGTGAAATAACACCTGCACACACAATTCCCAAAAAACAGGAGAGAATTCAGAAAATTCACATAACCACTGCACATTAACACCATGAAAAACACTTCTAGGAAGAAGGAATTATAATTTAAGAATGTAGTGTGAAGTTGTATGAGCAGTGACACTTGACCACATTCTACATTTACACACTAAATTCAGAGGATGAAAATTCACTGCCAAGGGTGTACAATCTCTGGATTAAAAAATATACACAGTATTGTCAGAGGCTGGATCTATTTATACTTTCAGATTAAAGGAATGGGTACCATTCATGTCAAAAAACAACCAAAACTTAACACTAGACTCATGAACTTACATAAAACAGATGTAAATTATCCACCATTTAAACACAAAACTTTGTTTATACTTCAGTATCTTGTACCTTTAGCATAATGTCCTCATACTCCCATATGTAAAGACAAAGCAGGAATAAGAACTGTGACAATAAAGAATGTAATGCATACAATGGCTTACAACCACCTTATAAATTCCATACCCATTTATTACTTAATCTTTATATTTCTTTTGACTGTACATAACTTGCACATTTGAATGAAACAGCACCATTAGACAAAGAAAAATGTTCCTCTAGACATACAATGTCAGTGCCAGATGTACTTACCTGTTACTTCTATACACAAAATGGTACCATAAATTACAGAGCTGCAGAAGATAGACTACTACTGTGTTTGCAGAACATGTTTAATTTGTATGGTTTATGTTGACACATTCAGACTTGTGATGAGGAATTTATGACATCGCATTCTCTCTGTTAAATGTGTGCAGTCAGACACTTCTGATAAGACATCCATTTCTAGCACTTATTCTTGGAGGATGTACACTGTGCAACAAATATAAAGAAAATGCTCGACGTTTTCTAAGTCCCAAACTGGAAGCGATTGAATCAGATCCTAAACCTTTCCCCACTCATCAGGTTAAGATTCTATTTTGTCAGACTGGTTCCCATATCTCAAACAGATTCCTCGTGCGCAGTTTACACATTATCCTGATGATGGAGGTAGCAAGCATCTCTGAAATAATGGTAAACTCTTAACAGACTACACAGCACAACCCAGGAGACAGCCATCTTGCATACTTCCTGTTGCGAGAACCTGAAATCTTACTTAGCTGCCCCCATCCTTGCATTGAATCCTTTAAGCAACTCAATAATTATCTTTTATGTTATTGACATATTTGGATGGTAATAAAGATATGCATTTAAAACACCTTGGGCTTGCATTCTCTCCACTGAACAATTTTTCACTATCATCAGAATTAAAACAAAGTACAATACAGTGTGATTTTCTTTGCTTCTTTATCACCATGGCATGTTGCTGTGAAGCAGATTGTAGAACAGCCCTGCTTCACTAGCAATAAAATATTGTTTCTTAACTTTGTAAAAGACTAGGTAGGGATTTCTTTCAGTGCTCTACAGTGTCTTCACTGACAATTCCACTTTCACCACATACATTCTTATAAGAAATACTGTGACATTTTTAAAATTAGCCCAGTTGCTCATTTGAAACTTTAAAATTCCCTACTTTCAGTCTCAGGACCATTTAAGTACCTTTTTTCCATAACATTTCTGTTATCATTTCCTGAAACCAATTTATTAGCAAATGTTCAAGTTCTTCTTGTGGTGAAGCCTCGTATTTTTCTTTTTTACATATGCCCTTATACCTACTGTATTCTTCTCCAAATATACAGGCTTTTTGTAATATTGTGGAGACAGCCCAAGATACTTTGTCATATCAACTCATGATACAGGTAGGTTTCTTTTCAGGACTTGGATGATTTTAATTTTCTGACTTACAGCGAGTATGTTTCTTCCAATGCCATGGTATTCACTATTACAAAATTAATTTTACAACTAAAATTTTTTGACAACATTTGCTAACAGCACAAATAGAACGGGTGGTAAGTTCTTTCAAACACAAAACACACACAAAGACCAAGGAGAAACAAGTATCATGCAGTGCAATTGTTGCTAGTGGTGTACAGGTGACACAAGTATGTGACCTTGACCTTCACTACATGCTATTTCAGATATGGTAAATGCTGCCATCCCTGAAAACATCAGTTCAGCCACACAATCATTTATTACCATAAACTGAAAGGAAGTGCCTCATCGTGTGTTGCCAGTTTGAAGAGTTGCAGCATATTTAGTAAATGCTATGTAATTATTACAGCTCAAATTCACCTTCAACATTACAACACTAAAGTAAAATAAAGTAAAAGTAAAGCTGTCCCATTATGTGCCATGTAGGCGCTTGGGGGGAGACGAGGTATAGCTCCTACTCATTCTTGACCTCAGCACTAGATGGGGGTGAGTGGTCAGCATCATGCCCCGCTTTACCCCTGGGAAAGGATCGTGGTACCCATTGGATAGGATGCTGGGTGGGCCTCAGAGTCGGTCTGGACGCAGAGGCTAGAGGAAAAATCCTCTGCCCGCATCAGGGATTGAACCCTGGTCGTCCAGTCCGTAGCCAGTCACTATACTGACTGAGCTACGCCGGTACACTAAAACATGCATAAAAATAATGAATTTATAACTATAGTATTTTTCAGCGGAATTGGCGGCTGAGTCGAGGTCTGCTCTTTGTGAGTGAACAATCAGCGCAAAGAAGGTCTGTTGGTAAGGAGGGAGACCTCAGACTGTTCAAAAACCCTCGCGATAGAAGCATCGGCAGCTGCACTGCATTGTTGCCAATTCTTACATGTTCTATGCGTAGTGTTGTAACCATTCACTGGAAACCAATGTTCTGCAATGCTACATCTGGCACCATTCTATGTTGTTTCCTTACTATCTCGCCCCTCCACCTCCCACCTCTACTTCCTACCATGGCAAAGTACGAGGTGCGATCGGAAAGTTTCCAGACTGTGTCAATAGAGGGCGAACCGGATGTAGTACGAGCTTCTGCCGCTACGGGGTGCGGCCTACATTCATAGTGAATCAGTGTGCCAGCCGGCATCATCGAATTAGCATTTGTTTCTTAGTTACGGGCGTTTTGGTAG